CAAAGAAAACAATACAAAGAATCAACGAATCCAAGAGCTGGTTCTTTGAAAAGATGAACAAGATTGACAGACCACTAGCTCAGTTAACCAAAAGAAAGAAAGAGCACCTCCAAATCAACAAAATCAGAGATGAAAGGGGAAACATCACAACAGACACCAAAAAGATCCAGAACATTAAAAGGGAATAGTTTAAAAAACCTATACAATACTAAATTTGAAAACCTAAAAAAAAATGGACAGTTATCCAAAAGCATGGGAACCACCAAAACTAAACCAAAAAGAAATCAACAGCTTAAACAGACCCATAACACATAAGGAAATTGAAACAGTAATATAAAACCTCCCAGGACCAGATGGATTTACAGCAGAATTCTATCCAAAAAGAAAACTATATCACCCATATCCTTAATGAACATAGATGCAGAAATTCTCAACAAAATACTTGCAAACCACATACAGACACACATCAAAAAGATCATCCACCAGAGATGCAGGGATGGTTCAATATTCATAAATCAATAAACATCATAAATCGTATAAATGGACTCAAACACAAAAACCATATGGTCATCTCAATAGATGCAAAGAAGGCCTTTGGTAAAATTCAGCCTGGATTTATGTTCAAAGTCCTAGAGGGAATTGGACTGGAGGGAACATACCTCAATATAATTAAAGCCATATACAACAAGCCCACTGCCAATATCATTCTAAATGGAGAAAAACTGGTAGCATTCCATTAAAATCAGGAACCAAGCAATGCTGTCCAGTATCTCCACTCCTTTTTAACATAGTGCTTGAAACTCTTGCAAGAGCAGTAAGACAAGAGAAGGAAGTTAAAGGAGTACTAATTGGAAACAAAGAGATCAAATTATCCCTTTTTGCAGATGATATGATATATGTAAGTAATGTCAAAAATTCCACCAGAAAACTCCTAGAAATTATTAACTCATTCAGTAAAGTGGTAGGCTACAAAATTAATCTACAAAACTCTGTAGCCTTTCTATATACCAATAACAAGCAATCAGGGAAAGAGTACATGAAGACACTCCCCTTCACAATAGCTAAAAAAAAAACCCCAAACGCCAAATATCTTGGAATAAACCAAACCTGAGCAAAGACATCTACAATGAAAACTTTAAATCTTTAAAGAAAGAGATTGAGGAAGACATCAGAAGATGGGATCACCTCCCATGCTCATGAATTGGAAAAATTAATATTGTGAAAATGGCCATTCTGCCAAAAGCCATTTATAGTGTCAATGCAATGCCAATCAAAATCCCTGACATTCTTCACAGAGTTGGAAAAAAAACATCCTAAGATTCATATGGAAGCACAAAAGACCTCTGATATCCAAAGCATCCCTGAGCACTAAGAGCAATGCTGGGGGGATTACTATACCATATTTTAAACTGTATTACAGGGCTATAGTCATAAAACAACATGGTACTTGTACAAAAACAGACCCGCAGACCAATGAAGAAAACTGAAGACCCAAATATGAGTACATACAATTTCAGCCACCTGATATTTGACAAAGGGGCCATGAACATTCACTGGAGAAAAGAGAACATGTTCAGCAAATGGTGTTGGCAAAACTGGATCGCCACCTGTAGAAGAATGAAACTAAACCCGTATCTTTCACCCTGCACAAAAGTCAATTCCAAATGGATCAAGGACCTCAATGTGATGCCTGAAACTCTGAAACTTTCAGAAGAAAACATTGGCAAAAACCTACAAGATATAGGTGTAGGAAAGGATTTTCTGAACCAGACATCAATTGCCCAGGAAACAAGGTCAAGAATCAACAAATGGGACCTTGTTAAACTAAAAATCTTCTGTACATCTGTGGGGGGTTCGAGCCAGTGACCCCCGTGCAGTGATAATTGGGGATGAGTAAGCATGCTGTTCACCAGCCCACACCACGCCCAGTACCGGGGACAATCAGATGCAATGGGAGCCTAGTCAAGCAGGGACTCATTTATTGCAGATGTTACAGAGCTTATAAAGGCACCTGGAAACCTCCCCTCGCGCCCCCCCCATGGATGTATCTTAAGGATGGTTACATGCTGATCATGCACTCCTCAGCAGTGTGGAAGTATCCTTCAGACTTTTAAAACAAGTCAGGCCATGCCCTAGTAACCTCCTCTCAGACCTCTGCAAGGTGGGGCCTTTAGATCCCCACATCTAACCCTTTTATTTTTATTTTAATGCCAGACTGACTTTATTTCATGGGTTACCCATCTCATAGACGGCTCCCTGAGGAGAGATGGCTATCTACTTCCTCTAATCTTATGCATTTTTGCCTGTCTTAGGTTGTGTCACCTCTGACCAAGACTTGTCTGTCATTGGATCATGCACCTGGCCAAGTGCATGTCCTGTCTTAGGAGTACTTTCATGGGACATCTTACCCATCCTCGGCTAAAAATGCATAATGATTAAGGGCAGCAGTGTGGGTAATGCCAGC